CAGAAGGATGTCAGCAAAATCATTATATTTAACAAGTAAAAACTGACTTTACTTGCACAGACAGGGATTTAGAATAGTCTTGATTAATGATAGTGCTATTTAAAAAAATTTTGTTACTACAAAAAAGTAAAGAATAAAGAAAAAATACGTATTTTAAAAATTTTGGTTGCTAACAATGTCAGCAGCAACACAAATTCATGGAGAATTCAGTGAATCYCAAACTGTCTTATAGTTTGTTGCAGTTGACTCTGTCAATACATATTTAAGTAATAAAATTAGAATGACTCCCAGTCATTATCAGAAATGTGAAGGAAAAATAGGTTTTCAGGTAATAAAATAGCTTATTTTGTTCATAAGTAAGTTACCCAGCCCAATATTCTTTAAGGTTAACATCTGATAAAGAATAACATGTTTTGCATAAAGACATCCATACTCAGCTAATCTGGGATGAAAATGACCTAATGAGTCCCAAATGTTTTAGAAATAAATCACGGGCTGAGAGARTGCCAACATTTATGTGAGGCACCTGAAATGAGGCTTTCCTAGTGGTTATCCTATTAAAGGGTCAAGARCACCGTGCATCTATAAATAAATCTCTCGATTACCAATGAAGAGGGTAAACCTTTAAGCGCTTCTGCATTTGCTAGTAACTGATTTTTGCCCCTAATCCCTTCAGCCTAGCAGCTTCATAGATGTCTATTTTTAGTTATTTAAATCTGCTCTAAAAAATGTTAAGAAATACAATACCATATATGCAAGGTATGGTTAAAGGATACAAAGGACAAAGAAGTACTGAGGTCAAGTCCACCATACAAAAGGCACAGACTAATGTCAAAACATGAGAATGCAAATTTAAGCATTAAGAGCTAAGTCTCTTGGCTGCAGAAATCCTCTACTTCTTTTTGCCTTCTGATATTCCTATGTTCCAAATAGTTCACAATTTTTTTTTTCAGTACACTATCCCGTCGTAACCCAAAAATTTGAGACTAGGCATTCTATTTTAAAATTCCATTTTTCCATCTCATACTTGAATTAGTCTTTATATTCACAAGATCAGAACTGGCATGTTAAATCTACAGAAGCTAAAGGGCTAGTTAGGAGAGAATTTAATGCAGCAAAGAGCTCCATCTCCTTATTCCATTATGATCTGCTTACTGAGTCTAAAAACCACATGCTTCATTAAGTTACTTAAAGGTTTTAGTTCAAAGCAATTGAACAGCTTTTAACTTCCCATTGGCAACTGCATGTAATTCATGGGCTGGGTAAAATAATATTTCAATTGCCTGAGTAAAATGTAAACATATAGGATATTAAGATGTAGCTATCYGATATCAATAATTTACTGATGATTATTTTGGTGATGGTATATAATAATACTGAAATTTAATACCATACCATATTTGCCTTTGTATCTTCCAAAAGAACAAGGAAGGTTACAAATTCATAGAAAACTGTTCATGTTTGCTAATGTACAACAATATTGAGTATAAGGAATATACAAATTGTTAATTCTCAACAACTTCACTGGAAATTAAGGGAGGAGTATATAAGAACATGCTACCAAGAAATAATTTCATTGTTTTGGTGGCCAATTCTTTAGATGTCTGATACAATTTTGTGACTCTAACTATTAGAGAAAAAGTACCTTTAAATATAAGGAAATATAGCTCTTTTGTTCTTCCAATAATGGTTAATGGCAGGAAATAAGAAAAAAAATAAATAAATGACTGTTATCCATTAACTGTCCCATACTAATTCATTATCAATATGTCCAGTTTAAGTTATTTATAAATAGCTATGCAAAATTGAATTGAGAAATARTGTTTGGTGAATATGCTCTTTTGTTTCCATGGAAACAAATGTTGAGTTGCATTTCTTTAAAGTTGTTTTTTTTTTTTTTTTTGGTACCAAGGATTGAACTCAGGGGCACTCAACTACTGAGCCACATCCCCAGCCTATTTGTATCTTCTTTAGAAACAGGGTCTCCCTGAATTGCTTAGCACCTCGTCCTTGCTGAAGCTGGCTTTGAACTCATGATTCTCCTGTCTCAGCCTCCCTAGCTGCTGGGATTACAGGTGTGTGCCACCATGCCMAGCTTAAAGCTGGTTTTAAAGTGGAAAACTATAGAATGTCAATATCCCAGAAACCTCAAAACTTAATATATTTCATATTTTTAAAATTTATTTGGTTTTCAAAACAATAGTCCATAGCATGCCATATAGCTCAGGTAAACCATCTATAATTTCTACTGATTTTTGTTACCTGTTTGATTATGTCTTGTCATAATCCCCCCACCTCATTTTAGTAGAATGGCTTTATTTGGCTTTGCATCCTCAGCATGTGACACAGGATTCACCTTAAGATCTTATTTGATAAAAATAATTTAAATGAATGAATATAATAAACTATTTTCTCCTTTCAGTTCTGATAAAACAGTATTTTACAGTCAAACTAGCAGTTAAATTTCAGTCCTGATTTCTATAATTAACTAGATCTGTGACCAAAAGCCAATCACAACACAATCACATTTCTTTTTATCAATTTCCAAAGTTATGGGGTTGTTGTCGTTTTGGTTTTCCTTCTTTTTTTTTGGTGTTGAACTTAGAGGTCCTTTACTAATGAGTCTCATTCCCAGTCCTTTTTTTATTTAGAGACAGGGTCTCCCTAAGTTGCTTAGAACTTTGCTACATTGTTGAGGCTGCTTTTGAACTTGTGATCCTCTTTCTCAGCCTCCCAAGCCACTGGGATTACAGACATGCAGCACCACACCCAGCTATTGTCACTTTTAAACAACATAAATCATTAAAAGCACCTAGAAGATTTTTAGCATAGTAAGAAATCAGTAAATGATACCTATAGTAGTTATAGTAACTGCAGATAYTGGGGTTGCTATCTATTCTTACCAGGCAAGATACTAGAGGCTCTGTCTTCATTCATCAGTGTAAGCCTGCTTTTACTTCCATTCTTCTGACAGACCTTCTGAAAAGCTAGTGCTGGACATTAAACATTGAGGTCAGGATTTGAAACTTCCTCTCCTGACTCCAGGCCCTGGGATTTCCCTAATACCTCATGCTACCTGTTCAGGATGTGTCTCAGATATCCTGAAAGACTCAACCTCTCTTTTAAATATTTTTTTTTCCAAAAATACTTCTATAAATTAAAGAATGGCTATCTGATCCATTACAGAAGATAATTAATTAAAAATCAGTAGGTTGTAGAAAGAAATTTGTCTAAACTATATTTCATTTTTACTTTCTAAGGAAATCAATTGGGTTTCCTTGGTGTAGTGCAAGAAAGCATAAAGTGTATTTTTAATTGGGAAGAAAACATCTCATTGTTTCACAGGCCTGAGTCCTTCTAAAGTGTCACCTGGTTGCCCCAGTGAATATCCAAAAAATCCTCTCTATTGATGTTCACTTTGTTATAGCATCTGGTCACACACTTTTTTTTTTTTTTTGAAATTCTATTAAAGAATAAAAACACTCTTTTCATATATAGTGAGGTTCTTTTAAATAAAGAGATGAGAATGCTGGACCTTCTACTAGAAATCTTCAATGGGTTATAATAATTAATATGCAAAGAGTATTATTGTCAGAAAAACACTCTCATGTAATCTGGGCATTGAAGTTGAGTCCTGGTGAGACTAGTGTTAACATGGGGGTAACATGTATTAGCAAATAACAATACCACCACCCTCTGATATAAACAAACAAAATCAATACTCTGAGGCATAGGGCTATTCCATGAATAAAGTCATATGTCCAGAAAATGGTCAGTCAGTATTATGACACATGAGCCTTTTTACTACATTTTTCAAATTAAATGTATGAAGTTGAAAGGTTCTGTGGAGAAATATTGACATTCTTAATGAAGAGGTAGAGATGTGGCAAATAGGGCATGGATAAGACACATAAAATAGTCATTGAAATTTAGGTAGGATTTCATTCAGTTCAAGTATTTGTTTTTTCATTGTTATCTAGTTATAATAAGTAAGGTATGTTTATAAAGTTACAGATCAGYAAAAGGCAGATGACCAAAACAAGTATTAGACTGAACCATATTAGCTGTCAGACACTCTACCATTCTGACCTACAAAAATGACAAATTAAACTTAAAGCCATGCTTAATTAATAATTACTTCCAAAACACATTATAATATTCTGTTAAGATGCTTTTATCTACAAAAATATTAAATTAGTTCTAATTCAGAAACCTAATTCCTATTAAGTTGGAAATTACCAATATGGAGGATACAATTAATAAAGAAATAATTCTTATTTTGAGAAAGTAAATATGTATTACATAGATTTTTGTGTGGTTATGATGACGTCAAATGCATATTTCTAAATAGAATACATATTTTGGAAAAGAATAGTACAGTTCAATGATGGCCAAGCCACTGCTATAATACTATGATACAAAAATTCTTGAGAGGCTGTTACAATTGTGTCATGTGCCAACATATTGAACACTGAAACAGATAAGACAATTCAGCCATCTTCAACCAACCCAGACATTAACACGCTTTTAAAAGTATAATTACATGTATTTTTCAAAATATGGGAAATACATGTATTTTTAAAAAATGTTATTTATATTTTCAAGCAATTAGTTATTATATTATTTTTAATGAATTGATAATATTTAAAATTATCAGTTTTGGTATCAGTACAGTAAATATTTAATTATCATCCACACAAACAAAAGCTTCTGGAAGTATCCCCCCCAAATTTAAAAACATAAGGTTCATATGAGCAAAAAGCTTAGAAATATAAACAAAAAATATTGTTTGTGAAATATTAAAATGGTTCTTCACTTTTAACAATTCTCTTTGATGAATACCTTTATGATACTTGAAAAGGTGTAAGAAATCATTTAAGATAGATCTATTTAAAAATCCTTACAACATTTTGTTCATGATGTAAAAAAAATTTGAGCCCTATAGAATTGCCCCATTTGCAAAATATATTTATAACTTAACCAAAATAAATAATTCATACCTCACCAAGTGAGTAATAACGTCTTGGGATCTGGGAGTCCGGATAGATGTTTTCTAGGTACCAAGAGAAGGGCTTACACTTCAGATTTTCTCTTAGTGTTTTTCTGACTGACACATCTCCATAATCCACTTTGACAACACCTGGAATTTTTCAGAGAAACACAAATCAATTGATGCTATTTTCATTTTAGCACTTTTTACTCTGTTTACTTTGCTATCAGTTTTTGTTCTCTATCATTATAATTTCATCAAATTCAATTGCATGTGCATCTGCTATTACACTGGTTTTCTTAGTACACATACAATTAGCACATGAAATAGATGCAAAAACAGTTCTTCCATTGGTTATGACTTTTTAAATGCAAATATTTATCACCAAGTACCGGTAATTCTCATATCAACTAAATGTAAATTGGTATTAATTTAGTAACTCATAATCAAAGCTTAACAGAACTATGCAATAATGTTATCTGATTTTTATTTTTATTTTTGCTAATCTTTATATTTTCCCTAAAATGTGCTCACCATCTGTAGATTTTATGAGAAATTTATATAAATATGATCCTTACAATGAACTGCACATATGTGATCTAACTTTCACTTGTTTTCAATGTTAGATCATTTAAGTCCAGCAAGCAACCAGGCACAGGAAAAAAAAAAAAAAAAGACCCATTATTTAGGATATCCAGACCAACCAGTAGAGCCAATAAATCACCCAATAAAATATGCAGCCATTGTTTTGACAAACTGAATGTCTGTGACTAATYCCATTATTAGTTTACTACTTTCAAAAGTAGCCAATTCTCAAATTCTATCATCAACTAGCTCCATCTCCTTCATCTCTTCAATCTTTTTTCAAAATTAAATGGCATAATATAGTTGAAAAGCATTCTTGATTATGCTTAAACAGCAAAACCATTTCCTTCCAAAAAATATTGATCTTTTCAGTTGGTGTTTGGACAAAAATAACAAGGTCTTTGGACCTTTTGAAATCGATAATATTTGCTTGCAAAAATCTTTCTATTCAGAACTTCCAATCTGGAGTGCAACCTTCAAATAAAGAGGCTCAAAAACAATTTTGTATTTTGATCACTAAAAGAATTACTGTGTTGTGACAATTGAAATGAGCTACATTATACATAAAGAGATGCCATTGGTCTAGAGTCGTAGTCTCAGAGGATTTAATTCAACAATTACTTTTACTGTTCTGGTTCCATTTAATTGAGATGGCTTATTTAATAACAGCATTCTCCGTTTTTCATCTGAAGATTTAGTAATCCTAGCTTCAGACTTTTTTTCCTAGGCATGTTTTATGAGTAGTTTTCTGACAGGAAGTCATGTCTGAAGAAGACTCACCTGCATATCATTTTACAGTGGTCCACAGAAAACATTAACTGCTCACCTTGGCAATGGGTAGTTGGTGGAGATTCAAAGAAATTATTGAAGAAAGGTAAAGCCTTTTTGACCTGCCATACCTATACCACCCCTTTGCACTGGCACACAAACTGGGATTTTGTCTTAATCCCAATTACGGTAAATCACTTTTAGAAATGCAAAATAATATTGTCATTTATTTCTATATTTTGATGAGAATTTTTTCTCCCTCCAGGTTCCCTATTTTACTATTCAGAAGTGAAATGTTATGAAAAGACAGCAGGGCTAACTAAATACTCCATACAGGTCACATTTCCCAGGCACCTGCATTTAGGTAAGGGCATCTGGTTGGTCCTGGTGAATGAACTGCGSGGGGGGGGGGGGGGGGGGGGGGGGGGGGGGGGGGGGGGGGAATGGACAAAGTCACTTGCAGTCTTAAAGACAGAAGAACAGCTATGAGACACCACAGGTTCCTTCCCTCTCCTATAAGGACTGAGAGACCTTGTATCCCAGCATGTGCAGCTGCAAGACAACAGGACCCTTGTTGTGCCTGTGACTGTGCTATAGTGACTGTGAGGCAGACCTGGAATTAACCTGGAAATGCCATCTTACTTGTTTCCAAACATTTATCTCCAACCCAAATTGTTTTTCAATTGTTTATGCAACAATTTTATTGAAATATCTAATAGGTATCTCAAGAATGGCAAATCTAAAATATGATTCTATAACATGTTCTGTCTCTAAGATTCTCCATTTCCATTATTAGCTCAAATAGCCATCATTTTTTTCACTGGGCTAAGACAGATAATTCTCTTTATCTCACACCCACACTTGCAATTCGTTAACAACTGCCACTAGTTATGCCTTCACAATATTTCCTTAGTCCTCTACTGCTTCCATACTGGTCCTGTCCTCTCATCTCTTAGATCAGTCCCGGGAGACATCCTTGAACTGTGCCTGAACTAAAAATGAAGTGGAAGCCATTAGACAGGAAAGTCTGGTATCTGGGAACTCCCAGGTACAGCCCTACTGGTTTGAGACTGCCCAATACGTGTGACTTCCTAATTCGMTTCATCTAAGTTCAGCACTGCAACAGAGATGGGATGACCTGCTGGAGCCACACAGCCACACAGCCTCTTAGAGATGGGTGTGGTTTGCCAAGATGCCAGCCAACCTGTTTGCTGCAAGAATCCTGTCACACTGAGAAGCAAGAGTCCTCCTGCTGAAACCTGCCTTTGATGTGTTTTCCTTTAAATAAAGAAATGAAGCAATTTTTTTTTTTTTTAGTTGTTGAGTTCCAGCTCCTTTCAGGACTGGAGGAACTACCAGACACTCTGMTTTCCTTTTATACCTAATTTCTGGCTCTGTCTCTTATTTCTTTCTAATTATTTCAGACTTTCTATTTCTCAGGCAGCTCACACCGTCTGAGCAGAAAGGTACCCTAGCGGCATGCTGGCAAACCCTGAATAGATCAGCATTGAAAAGGCCTCCCAACTAGCACTCTCAACATTTTCCATTTCTCCATCTATCTTTTATTCACTGATGCCTACTCATTAGACAACTTATTCAAAATACAAATAAAATTATGTTACCTCCCTGCTCCTAAGCATCCAGTGATTTTCCACTGTACTGAGAATAACTAATCATCTCTTAATGATTGCCTGGAGACTCTTCATTGAAATGGCTRGCTCTTGGCTATCTCTCTGAATTCATCCTTGTTTTGCTTTTCTTCAAACACACCAAGCTCATTTCTTATTCAAGGTGTGTAATTATCTTCCTGTCTGGACTAGTATTAGTTTGGGACTTTCAGGAATTGTCCTTTACTTGTTCCAAGTCTTTCCTTAAACTTTACTTATCCAGGTTTACCCTGATCTTATCGAAGTTGACTGCTTCCTAGCATCACCCTTGGTCATGTTCTATTTAACTTACTTAATTTTTCTCCATAGCACTAACCCTAATATTATATGACAGATTAATTTGCTCATTTCCTTTATTACAAGATTTTGGACAATTTTTTTAATCTCTTGAATCTTAAGATATCTTATTGAAAATACCTTGTAATATATTGTGAATAGGAGATATGGTCTGGAAAAGGCCTACTACAGTGCCTGGAATATAATAATTGCTTAATATCTAGTATTTATTATAACATATATCTGTTGTTTTTGCATGTCTGATATCCATCTGACTTCTGGTAAAAGCATTAGTTTTCTTTGAGTAGACATCCCTCCCTGACTTTCAGTTTGGGTGGGGCTGTTCTCATTCCCCTTCCTAACCTTTTAGCTCCATCTAGGTATACAGACTAAATTCACATTACTAGAGAGTCTTGTTAAAATGAAAATTCTAATTTGGTTGGTCTTGGGGAGGGCCTTTCAGTCTGCAGTTCAGACAAGCTCATGGAGGATGTTGCTCAGACCAGAATATGATTAGCACTCAAGATAATCAGAGCATTTCATTTATCAACCTTATATACAAACAGATAGTAATGATTGATTCATGAATGGGCCTGTGAGARCCTAATACAAGTTTACTCCAAGAAGTTGTTTGTACCATCAGAAATTTAAAGCTCTATTTCCTCTGGAATTGGTACCTACAAAGATGATTTAAACCTGAGCTTATGGAGATACTCTATAGAGAAGGCCTTGGACAGAGACACCTTGAGGAGTAAGATAAATAACCAAAAGTGTGTGTATGGGGAGGGAGGGAGGGAGGAAGGGAAGGCAGGAGAAAGAGAGAGAGAGAGAAAGTGGGCCCAGAGGTCAAATCATGATTAATTCAACCAATATTTGCTGTAGTCCAACTACATACAAGGCACTTATTCTAGATATTTTGGATACATTTATAAACAAACAAAACTAACTACCTTTGTCTATGGATTTTATATTATACCAAAGATTATATATATATATATATATATATATATATGAATGATACATGCTATGGCAAATACAGAGTTGGACAGGAAAGGATGATTGCAACTGAAGGAATCTTAATACATTATTACTTTTTGCAAAGACAATTTATATAAGTTGACAGTTTTTAAGGCAAGTCTTTCAATGAGACTTACAAAAGCCCTAAAAGACTTTGATGATGAGATAAAAATGTATAATAAGAAAAAAAGTGTATTTTAATTAACTCCAGGTTTGTGGTTTGATTAATAGAAAAATGATAACACTTATGGGTTGTTCTATTTTATTTAATAACTTTTCCTTTATTAATCATCTTTAAACACATTGCATGGTAGTATTAAATTCATATATTTAGAGCAATCATGTTTTAAATTTTAAATAGCTATTACATGGAAGATCATAATATTCCCAGTTAGTAYTTCCCTAATACAGACCTAGTAATTCTAAGAATTCTAGTTTTCTATAATCAAGGTATAAAAAACAAATGCCCTGATTGCACACTACAGCTTACAATCTAATGGATAAAAGTATCTTTTGCAGAATAACTTAAAGTGGAGAAAAGGGGAAACTATTTTCTTTCTATAAAGAATGCTTAAATAAATCAATTGTACATCTAGTAGACAAAATATAATTTACATATTAAAATAATTGTCAATATAAGAATATGAAAAATGTTAATAAAAACCTAAAATTTTATGTGTGTGTGTGTGTGTGTGTATAATACTGCCACTAAAACCAACTCAAATGGAAATAAATGAAATAGCAAGAATCTGAGAAAAATAAAAACAGTACCTTCCCTTTGCTACTCAAAAAAAAAATTGAAACAAAGAACTAAGAAGGCTCCCATTCCTTTCTTAA